AATAAGGTCCCAAGAGGTAAGGGCAAATCGCTCAAGGTCTCTGGGCTGGTTAGTTAGTTGGCAAGGAAGCTGTAGGATATGGGAATAGGACCTGGCCCTGGAATGCTTAGTTCTTTTCTTTTTTTCTTACGTATATCTGATTCTTTCAGTGAGAGAGCTGCCTAATGATCCAGGAGCCCCAATGTCTCTCATCTTACCTCCAGACAATAGAAAATCTTTTTTAAGGATTCTAATATTCTTCACTCTTGTAACATGACTGGCATGCTAAAATTATGCAGACCTCACAGGGGACCCTTCTTCTGACAGTTTTTCTGAAGTATTACTGCATTTGGAATATTATTTTGTGGTGGGTTTTTTTTTTCCTGTTCGTCTTGAACACACAAAATGAATGATGGAGGTAGTCTTTTTCTCAGGAAGTGAGCAGATGGTGTCACTCCTAGATTATAAATGGCCAAACAGAGACCCAGAGAAACATAGTCCTGGGTATTTAGACTGTAATTCCAAGGTTATTTCCATGGTTTATGCCATAGCCTTGAATCAGTTGGAAATATGGCTATGTATGAAGTCCCAGGAATCTTATTTGGAGTGTATGGTCTGCTTCAGGCAATCTTCCAAAAATAGCACATGCATTGTCTGTCTGGCTCTCTGTTGCCCTAAATCCATGCAAAAATGTATCTTCTAATGTGGTCCTCATGCTCATCTGTAGGCTTTTCTATTTTGAATCCATTATTTCTGTGTTTCTTTTCTTGCTCCTTACCTCTTGTACAGAAGTACCCTGAGAAGGAACACTGGTCCTGAAAGAGTCAGTTTTAGTCCCTACCTTAACTCTCTCCTTGAAATCCTACAATTATCTTTCATATAGTGATGTGTACAAGAAGCACAAACCTTTTTTTGCATATGGGAATCCCCAGTCATTAACCTCATGTATTCAGCTATATGAATATGAAAAATGCAATATAAAATCAAAGGAACTAAATATTTTATACATCTCAATGATAAAAACAAACCACAAGAAAACATCATAGGCTGTTGTATATAAATTAATAAGGAAATAGTTGCTGTTCAATATAATCTTCTTAAGAGTTCATTCTATGTGTTGCCTTACTCTGGTTATATGCTCTATGTATATGTCCCGATTCCATATGACAGAATCCTGTACCATCAGTTTCTCCATCAGGCTAACATTACCTCAGACTAATCTTTAATTTGATTAGCACAACGTCATTAACTGGATTCTATCCTCCTACGGCCTTCTACTATCAGCACATTACAATATGCCCTGTAGCCTTCTTGGGCCAGATGCTGACAAACTATATTGTATTTCTTAACTTTGCCAGCTCTGGCTGATTAGAAGGCAGAATATTTATTTTCAAAGGGTATGGTAATGTCCCTGATAGTGGTGGTATACTTCTTATTGTTCAAAATAACTAAATCCAGTCTTAACACCTTTCCAAGTTCTGGAAATATCAAATTTACCTGCATCTTACATCTTTCCAGCACTTTGATTGCTTTAACTAATCTATTTAAAATAGCCTCCTGCTACTAGCTCAGTTGAGGACTGTGGTGATAAAGTGAGAGTGTTTCATTTGATGCCCCAGGATGTCTCCAGAGCTTAATTTCTTGGCCTGCCCCTTTCAATGAGACACAGTCTAGTCTGGCTCTATGAATGAAATACCAATCTGTACATTAGGAGAAGGATCCCTCCCTCATTTAAAAAAAATTAGTCTGCGGCCATGGAGGTTCATTTCATAAGTGAAACATAATTATGCATAGTGTAATCACTATCTCTTTGGAGAAAGCTTAAGAGGTTTTATGAGTAGAGGGGAAAAGACTTCAATGAAAGTAGGGTGATGGGTCTTTTCAGTTTTCTCTACCCTGTGAAGCCATGAGAGGTTTGGAATAGACATTAGATTATGACAACTGTTAGCTCCTTAAAATGCGACATTGGGAAGGATCAAAGAACCATCTCCTGCGTACTCTGTTTATGTCTTGCATGTATCTAGTTCTTAATGTGTGTTCTCCCCATTAGAATGTAAGGTCCTAGAGGTCTGGAATCCTTTATTTGCCTTTCTTTGTATCATTAACTCTTAATAAAATTTCTGGTGCATAGTAAGCTCTTAAAAAATGCTTGTTCATTAATTGATCAGAGATTGAGAACCGTAATGGATATTAGTCTATCAAGTTCACCCCCTCCTCATTTTGAATATGAAGAATCAAAGACTAAGCAAGTAAATGACTTACTCAGGGTCACACAGCTAATAAGTATCTGGGACAAGAATTGAAATTAGGTTTTACTGACTTCAAGTCCAATGCCCAGCAACTCTTTCATAATGTTCTTTGGTGAAACTCACCTTCTGTTGTTTACAAAGGTGTAGCAATGTTCAGCTAATGAACAAACCTTGAAAAAGAAAGTGCCAGAGGGTGCTGAGGGAGAAATGCGCAAATTAAAAGTTTCAGTGAGGCACAAATGAATTTGATCATCAATTATCTGATGTAGCACCTATTTAGATAATCAAGACCACAATTTCACAGGGCAGGTAGGTGGCATAGTAGATAGAGCACCAAGCTTGGAGTCAGTAGGACCCGAGTTCAAATCGGCCTCAGACCAGACATTTGACACTTACTAGCTGTGTGACCCTGGGCAAGTCACTTAACCCCAATTGCCTCACCTAGAAAAAAAAAAAGACTACACGCAACACATCTCTTTTTCTATTTCAATTCTATAATAAATCTTAATTTGCTTTTAATTAGCAGCAGTCTTTATTGCCAGTTCCTTGGGATAGTTCTCCCTGTGTAAATCAGAACAATTCCTAACTCCTTCATATCTCCACATTGTCAGACTCCATAAGTGGGGTGGCATATACTCTGTCTTTAAAAATTAATTGACAATGAAGACAAATTTGCCAGGTTCCTGCTTCAAGCACTTTGTACAAATTTGAAGGAGCAGCATGTTAAATATTAGCATGAATTCTGTGGCATTTTATACTGCCAGTAGCTTGTTTAGAATATTCTGTCTGAGCTGTGTATGGATGAGGAAGGATGGAAAAGCTGATTTTCTGGCAGAGTGCTGAAGTCTTGCAGGAACAGTGAGCATAATGTCAGAGGTTCCCTTGAGAATATGCTTTAGATGCATCTCCCTGCAGATAGATATAATTAAAAGGGCCACTTGTCATTAAATAGAACATCAAGTAGCCTCCTAGCTCATCCAGAATTTTATACACATATACACGTATACACAAGTGTGTGTATGCATCTATGTATGTAGATATACATACATATGCACATATATGCATGTGTAGATTATATATATACACATGAATACAAACATATGCATGTATACATATATACATATATGTTAAATTATTAAACCAACTTCTTGCATCTAAACTATAAACTTTTTTTTAAAATTAGGTTCCTTTACAAGTGGCATTAAACCTTTAAATTGTTAGTGTTCTATCATTATGTTATCCTTTCATCACCGACTAATTTGTTTGTTATAAGGCCAGAGTCACAGTCTCCGCTCCAGCAAAATTGTTCCATTGAAAGATTTCAGCCACACATGGGGTTGGGGGGTTTGGGCAGATTATCACTCAGTAATAGAAAAGAAAGCCAAGTGTCACTGTATGTGCTGTTGACTGCATAAATTAAAGATAGCATACTTCATTGTTTGAAATTGTTTAATGGCCTTAAAGCTGATATCACTAGCACCTAATTCAACTCCAAGATGACAATTTAGGTGCATAGGTCCTAGTTTGCCTTGTAGCTCTTGGGACTTTTTCTTGATTATATTCTAATTTCTTTGAGGAGAAGTATTTCTTGTTTATTTTCCTTTCTTCCCTACCACTTAACATGGTGCTTTGCACCAAATAGGAAGGGGAGGCACTGGGAAACACATCGTATAGAGAAGTATAGTAATTTTGTCTTAATCTTGCTTTTTAAATTCATTTTCTAATAAACTGCAGTTTAATTATTAGGATCATTTATTAATGGATCAACGAACAAGGCTTTCCCAATGTCTCTAAGAGAATTTAAAATGACTGAAAGAACAGTAGATTGATAAATTAAAGAGAAGCTACATATTTGGATATGGGGCAGAGGATAATTAAGAATAAAAGAAAATATTTTGAATTCTGGGAACCAGAGACCAGAACAAGTAAGCTGCTGTTATATTCAGGAAGAGGAATCTTGGCTAGACTTGAGAATGGAAGCAGATTCCCAAAACTTAAAAGAAAACAAATCTTTTGAGGAGATAAACATAAATATTATCATCCATGCATAGGGCACCTGCTCAGAAACTTGGAAATTACCTGGAGGGCACTGAGAAGTTAAGTCACTTCTCCAGGCTCACAGAATTTGTCTATGCAAGAGCCAAGTACCCCAGTATAGAAGTGTACTTGTAGATTTTAAATATAAATTCTAGTTTTATTCTTACTGCCCCAGCTAGGTAGTGCCATGAAGTGCAATGAGTTTTGTACTTGGAGATAAGAAGGCACACGGTTGAATCTTGCCTCAGACACTTCACTTACCATGCAACCCTGGACAAGTCACTTAACTTCTCTCAACTCAGTTTTCTTATCTGTAAATTGGGATAATAATAACATGTATATCCTAGGGTTGTTGTGAGGATCGAATTAGAGATTATCTGTAAAGAACTATGCAAACTTTTAAAGTACTATATGAATGTTAGATATTGTTATTATCAGAGGCAGGTAGGTGGTGCAGTGGATATACTGGGCCTGTAGTCAGGAAGACCTGAGTTCAAATTTGGCCTCAGACACTCACTAGCTGTTTGAACTTGAGTGAGTCACTTAATCTTGGCCTAATCCACTGGAGGAGGAAATGGCAAACCACTAAAGTATCTTGGCCAAGAAAACCCCATCCAGGGTAATGAAGGCTCTGACATGATTGAACATGAGCAGTTATCATCGCCACCACCACCATCATCATCATCATTGTCGTCATCATCGTCATCAATCACACAGCTTGTTCATTGTCACCTTTATTTGAATTGGCTAGACTTCTTTATCCATCCTGTGTCTCCATGATCATACACCTGAAAGCTGCACACTGTTTGTAGCCGCCTGCATATGCTTAAGCTTTTCGTCCCTTTGTATCCTGAGATGGGAAACAAATAAAGACTGTGTTGTCCTACCTATTCATCCAGCATGACTGTGAACGTAGCTATTAGACAACATCCCTGTCCTATCTCTATTTCCCAAAGAATGGGAAATGAGGGAGAAAGCTGTAAGTCACAGCAGTGGTTGAATGTAAATGAAGAGCAGAAGCAGGGCTGATAACTTAAGCCTCAACCAAAAGCAATATATTCTTAGCAGTTTGTTGATAAACAGAGCTTCACAGGATACATTAGATTTTACTAATTCAATCCTTATTATTCACTAAGCATACTTTTATTTAAATAAATCTGACCACCAGCCCCCTGCTGGGCTAACAAAGCTCTAATGGGATGGTGGATATTTGGAATCTGCCATAATTATACCCATTCTGGCTATTAGTTTATCTGCTATGGCTGGCTTGATGCCTTAAGAATATCATGTGCTAAATAGTACTTAATATGGAATTCACAAGAGCTGGGCTGGGAAGAAGTAAATACTCCATATGTCTATATTAAAAATAGTTGCTGAAAGGAAAGAGAAGCATAGGAGATGCCAAGAATTTTGAGATATTTCTTTGGTTTTGTTGCTTGTGCGTAAAACATTAATTTTAATAGCCCTGAATTGGCCAAGTTGTTGATATTTCAAGGGGAAATCCCCCTCCCACCATATGGATTTTTTTTCAATGATATTTTTGAGAGAATAATTAGCATCACTGTTGTTTCTACATTAATTCTTAAGGAATGGGGGGGAATCTATTAGTATGATGATTTTACATGCAGAAAATACATTTGATCTTTACTATAATTACTAATAATAAGATTAGGATAGGATTAAGAGTTTGAATATAAGAAATAGTTTACTGCTAGAATTCCAAATTGACTGAGTATTATAGGTCTCTGAAGTCTGATTTTTACTTTTAAACTTAAAATCTATGCCTATTAAGGAAGATTTGGTGGACATGAGCCTGGGCTTTTTAAGAACTAGCTATGTCATGTGACTCCAAAGATCTATTCTCTGCTCCATTAGCTTTTCCCAAATCAAAAACCTTATCTCTTAATTCAGTGAGATTTATATTTAAGTGGAATAATGAACTTTACATTAAAAAAGTTGGTGTTGGAGAGAGTTGGAGAATATATTGTTTCATAGAAAGTAACTTTACCTATAAGAATCATTACATGAATAAAATTCATGTAATGTTAGATTATATTGTAACCATATTGTATACTTTACCTTCTTACTATACTACTTCATTGTCATTTCCACCAAATACAATAAAGATCCCTGAATCAGGTTTCCTTCTGTCATATAGGTTTAGAAAATATTTTTCAGTTTCCTCTTTCCTTTAGTACAACAATTTAAATTTATTAAGCATCTGCTTTGTGCACATTGCTGTGCCAGGCATTGGAGGCAGAAGGATAAATATACCCAGCCCATACCCCCAGAAGCTAATAATTTAATTTGGGTATAACACTTACATACAAGTAAATATAATTTAAGGTGGAAAGTGCTAAGTACAAAGTCTAGATACGAAGTGCTATGGAATGTTTGAAGTATAAGAGATTGCCAGACAATTGGGAAAGGCTTCTGCCTCCCCACTTCCCCAAACCAAATCCAACTGTGCTTTTGAGAAAAAATAGGCTCATCATAAGGATATGGGTCTTTAGTCACAATGGAAGGTCAACTTTATAGATTCTTCTTTAAAAGTGGAAATGTCTCCCTACAAGAGGCAATATTTATCTTGATGGCCACATGGTTGGTTGGATTTATTGTGAATATTCCTTTCTCTGCTCTTCTACCTGAGAATTTCTTAATTTTGAGTTGTTTACCTTTTGTTTAATATATATTTTGATAATTATATTCCATTATATTTTCTTTTGTAATACTATGAATTTTATTTTATGTATTTAATAACATCATTCTCTGGTGTCCTTAGGCTTCATCATACTGTAAAAAAGGTCCAACACACTCTCACACACATACACACAGACACACAGTATTTAAGAACTCCCATTTTAACTATTAAAGTCAGTTGAGGAGTATGGAAGCCTCCTACCCTATTCCTTTGGGGACAGCACAGGGATAAATGGCATAGAGATATATTCTGCTTGGTCAGACCATATGGGGAATGTTATCTTGAGTTTGGGGTAGGCGCCTCATTTTGGAAGGACATTGGTAAGTTGAAACAAGTCAGTGATGAGGATGGTAAGGTGATTCCAAACCAGGACATATAATAATATGTTGAGGGAATTTGAGATGTTTGGGGCAAAGAAGACTTAAGTGGGACATTATAGGTATCCAAGTATTTAAAGGTCTGCTATGTGAATGACTGGTTTTGTTTTGTGATCCCAGAGGGTAGAAATAGGACCATTGTCTGTAAGTTATAAGGAGCCAGATTTTTGCTTAAGACAAGGGGAAAACAAATAGAAAAATTTCCAATCAAATAGAAAGATACAAAACTGGAAGGGGTTGCCTCTGGAGGCAGTGCCTCTGAATCACTGGAAGTCAGAGGCTGGCTCATCACTTGTCAGGAATATTATAGAAAATAACACTCCTCTTGTATAGGTTGAATTATATAGCCTGAAGTGTCTTCTATGAATCTATGAATATGACTTGGCAGTCTCCTATACAACTTTGACAAGATGGAGAAGAAACAACTTTCATGAGAGACCAGATAGCCAGGTGGATACCATCCTCTCCCCCCCAACTCTCTCTCTCTCCAACTACTAAACTACTCCCCAACTTCCTTTAAGTTCCAACTATAATCCCACTTTCTGCAGAAAGCCTTCCCCAACCCCTCTTAATTCTAGTGCTTTCCTTCTTTTAATTATTTTCTATTCATTCTCTATATACCTTGTTTTGTATATATTTGTGTGGATATTTTCTCTCCCATTGGATTGTAAACTCCTTGAAAACAGGGACTGTCTTTTGACTATTTTTGTATCCCCAGTGCTTAGCACAGTTGCACAGTTCCTGGCACATAGTAAATGCTTAAAAATGTTTCTCTCTCTCTCTCTCTCTCTCTCTCTCTCTCTCTCTCTCTCTCTCTCTCTCTCTCTCTCTCTCTCTCTCCCCCTTCCTCCCTTCTTCCTTCCCTCCCTTTCCCCCTCCCTCTTTTTTCTATAGATGGAAATAGGTAGAGATCTACCTATCTGTCTCACATTGGAAGCAGCTAGGTTACTCAGTAGATAGAGTGCCAGGCCTGAAGTTAGGACACAAGTTCAAATTTGACCTCAGACACTTACTAACCATCTGACCCTTGGCAAGTTGCTTAATCCTGTGTGCCTCAGTTCTGCATCAGTAAAATGAGCCAGGGAAATAAATTGCAAACCACACACAAATGGGGTCATGAAGAGTTCGACATAATTGAAACAACTCAAAAACAAATCTCATACGGAATATGTACATAAAGTACATGAAAAAAAAAATTAATCACACTTTTTTAAAAGGCTTTTTAATTATCACCACTAACTAAAAGCATTTTGTAGAAGTGCACATAGTATACTTCCGCTTCCAGGAGCCAAGATGGTGGAGTGAAAAGGTAGTTGCTCTCACTCTCCCCTATCAACCTCTGCAAACCCAGAAAATATCAGCCCAGGTAAAAAAAAAAAAACCCTGGAACACCTGAACTAGAAGAAAGACAAGGAGCAGCAGTGCAATAGCCCAGAAAACGGATCTCTCAGTGCCTCAGCAAAAACAAGGGGCCCCAGGCGGATAAGTACCCTGCAGCATTGATCTGAAAGGAGGTGAAGAAAACAACCTAAAGGCTTCCTAAAGCCTCGGTCTTGCTGATTCCAACCCACCAGGTGAGCTGTAGGAGCCCTGAAGCCCTCAATTGTGAAGAAATCCTGAAGCCCAGGTGGTAGAGCAGGCAAACACCAACACCTGGACCTCCGAGTGCCTCAGTGAGGGCGGGGGAACTGGTGGAAACCAGCTCAGAAAACCACCAGGAGCCTCAGCACTCCACTGCAAAGGAATCTCCCATGCATTAGCAGAACCAAGGGAGACAACACTGCAGGGGGCCCCAGGCAGATAAACATCCTGCAGCAGCCATCTAAAAGGAGCTGAAGAAAGCTAAAGGAAAGGAAAAGCAGGCAACCTAGAATTGCCTGAAAGTTCCAGCCTTGCTGATTCCAGCCCAACACGAGGTAAGCTGCCAGAAACCTACAGCTCCAATCCCATAAGAGGCCCCAGAACACAAAGCCAGTGACCAAGACCTAGGCTCCCAACACAAGAAGCTTGGGTCAGTACCCTCTGTTCCCCAGCAGGAGAGCTCAATCTCTTTAAAGGCCAGGGAATAAAGAAACACCATGAGTAAAAAGAAACGTACCATAGACTCATATTATGAGAAGAGTGAAGATCAAGACAGAAATTCTGAAGAGGACAACATTGTCAACAAACCCACATCTGCAACAACAAAAGGGAATATGAACTGGTCTGAAGCCCAAAAAGCCTTCTTAGAAGAGCTCAAGAAGGATTTTAATAGTCAAATGAGAGAGGTAAAAGAGTCCTTCAAAAATACAATTGGCCAATTGGAAAAAAAAATACACTGAAGAAAACAAGTCCCTAAAAAACACAATTGGCCAATTGAAGAAGGAAGTACAAAAACTAACAGAAGAAAACAATCTGTTAAAAACTAGAATTGGACAAATGGAAACTAATGTCTCTATGAGAGAGCAAGAATCAGTCAAACAGAAACAAAAAAATGAAAAAATAGATGAAAATGTAAAATACCTCATCAGTAAAACAACCGACCTGGAAAATCGACTCAGGAGAGACAATTTAAAAATTATTGGACTACCTGAAAATCATGATGAAAAAAAGAGCCTGGACAGTATCTTTCAGGAAATCATAAAGGAAAACTGCCCAGAAGTCCTAGAACCAGAAGGGAAAATAACCATAGAAAGAATCGACCACCACCACCTGAAAGAGATCCCAAATTGACAATGCCAAGAAATAATAGCAAAATTCCAAAATTACCAGATGAAAGAGAAGGTGCTGCAA